CAATTGCAGAATAAAGAACGTGCATTTATCTATAAGTCCCATTATGGGGCTAGTCTTCTATCGTGCATTTAGAGAGGGTTGCATTTAGGGGGTTGCAGTTAGGGGGTTGCATTTAGGGGTTGCATTTAGGGAGGTCTGAATGGAGTGAATATAAACATTAGACAAATTTGGAGATCCATTCGAATTTTCATTGACTTTTTTCTCAACAGATAATCTATTATACTTCTTATGGCTAAATTTGGGGTCGCATGATTAACCTTAGCGAGAGTAAACCTAATCGTTTCGCTAGAAATAAAGTGCGGAATGTTATATTTAGAGATCAAATTATATAGCAAACTTTCAATAAACACATTCCCTTGGGATTATATACAAAATTTCTATTTAGAGAGAGTGAGATATTTACAAAGATCGGATTGAAATTTAGTGCATTTAGAAAATATACTGTATGTAGCATGTAAATTTATAAAGGGTTAATTGCATATTATTACAATTTGTGCATATTAAGGCCGCTTGCAGTTAAAGTTTCGTTTAACGTTATTTTTTTCGTATTCGCGAGGGGGAGGGGGAAAATTAAACAAACAAAAAAAATAAACATATAGTATACCGAAAAATCCCGAATATAACCGAAAAGTTCCGATCACCGTGCCAACCATTATGCCGACTAATTCGTCACCTCTATTTGTTTAATTTTAGGGGGGAGCTCAAGAGATGGAGGGGGGGGGTAACATTAAACGAAACTTTAACTTCAAACGGCCTTATATATATATATATATATTTATTTATTTATTTAGTAATAATATATATATATTATTTTGGGATTTAAATTACTTACTTGTGAAGGCTCTATATTTAAAAGTAAACTTTGAGAATCTGTTTCCCAATTATCGTTAGAACTGTTAGGCTGTATAGATAATTTCTTTTTAATTTGATAATATTGATATCACTATAAAAAATAATTCATATAAAAAATTATTACCTGAATAATATTAATATCCGATGGGATTACTTGTGAATCATCTATTTCATTCTTATAATTTAGTAAAAGTTCAAATAATTATAAGCATTGCGATTGTTCATAATAATTAATTTAAATAAGTAATTATATAATTTAATGAATCATCGCCAATCGGAATTGTATTATACTTTATAAAAAATAAGTTAAGTTCATGAATTCAAATAATAATTTATATTTGGTTTACCTGCTCAATTTGACTATCTTCAAAAATTTGGTTTTCCTTTTGTATCCTTTTTTCTTTTTTTTTAGAGAAAGGATTATTTGGAGATGCCTGAAAATCTTCTGTGCATTCCTTTATTAATAATAATTACAGTATTAAGTTACATTATGTTAGAAATTTACTATATTATTAAACAGATATCTTATTAAAACCTGCTATACTTGTAAAGATTGATTATCTTCATCTGAAGTATTATCTTCATCAATTTCATTTATTGAACCTTCAACTTGATTTATTGAGTGGAGAGAGGTTGAACTTCGAGAACTATCAAGTTGTGTGAATGATTCCTTTATAATTTGATAAATTTAATTACAACCTTGAAATTTAATTTTAAATCTGTCAAAATTTGATTATTAATATTTACCTGATTATTCATATCCAATTGGGTTACTTTCTCTGTTTCATCTATTCGCTTTTAAAAATAACAAAATAAATAATATTGACTAGTGAAATTTGTTATCATAGTAGAGTTTACTTGTCTACTAAAGCGTTCATCCTTTTCTATAACAACAACAGAGACATTTTCAATAATGCCATTGGTAGAACTATCGTTATGCGAAGTTGATTTTTCTATAATTTTTACATACCTTCTTATAAGTAAAAATTTTTAAATTATATAACTAAATAGCCAAAACTTGATATAACAATAATACCTAAAGGATCCGATAAAGTCTCGCATTTTTTACTACGATTCGTTGCCTTTTCTTTGAAAATTTCCTTATATTTTGATTGCCTTCATCGTCAGAATCTAAAATATCCTGTTGTGCCTTATATTTTTTAACACTTTTTGATTTCAATCTTTTGTTTTTTTTTTGCACTTTGATTATCAATTTCATCTGAACTTGAATATTCAATTCGTATTTTACGTTTTAATTTCTTCGAATTCTCATTTTCACACTCCTTACAGTTAGGGTTGTTAATGGAGTGGAGTGGAGTGGGTTGGGTTAAAATTAGTCAGAGCAAGCCTTCCTCCAACCCAACCCGGGTTATACTTCAAATTAATACTCCGAGTTGCTCCATATGGAGTAACCCGGAGCAGAGCTTTTTTATAACCCGGGCTGCTCCATATGGAGTGACCCGGAGCAAAAATTTTCTTATAACCCGGGTTGCTCCATATGTTGACTCACATTGCACGTTCATCTTGAACATATTTAAATATAGCAAAAAAGTGTATTATGTATATTTTGCATGTGTATACTAGTTCTATATAAGATGCACGTGCAATGTGGGTCGAGTCCCAAGTTTGACTTGGGCCAGACTTTAATAAAAATTTAACTTTTTGGAGTCGAGTCAGACTGGACCAGGCTTTAATAAAAACAACTTTTTGGAGTCGAGTCAGACTAGACCAGACTTTTAAATATAGAGCAACCCGGGTTTTACTCCAGGTCACTCCATATGGAGTAACTCAGGTTTTGCTCCAGGTCACTCCATATTGAGCAACCCAGGTTATAAGAAATAGCTTTGCTCCGGGTTATTATATAATTCTTAAAATCTCAACCCACTCCAACCTCAAACTGGAGTATAACCCGGGTTGCTCCGGAGTATGCCGCTCCATTATCAACCCTACTTACAGTACCAATTTCCATAAGGAATTCTTGTAAATGGAGGGTTTAAACATTTAGTATGAAAATTTTTGCCACAAGGGCCGTCACACAAGAGGATACGACCTCTGTCGCCTTTCTATTTGCATACAGAACAACCACAATGTTCACATAATTCCTTTTTATTTCCATAGCACTCTTAACATTCTGACCATCCTGGTGAATCGTCATCACTTACATCCAAGTCTTCTTCCTACCAAATTTTTGATATCAATAATGTATATTAATAATTTTATTTTTGAAATTTATTAATTGATTAGTTGAAAATTCTTACATTATCATCATCTTGAATAGATCCGATGTCATCAGCTTGTATACTATTATTTGCTAGGGTCGTTTGTTCAAGCATTCTGGAGATAATATTGATTGATTGCTGGTCATTGGGCATAGATTCATCTGTTTCTCTGACATTTTCAGTTTGCTAAAATTTGTGATTCGTCAATGATAAATTATTTTCAGGTTAACTCAATTATTGAAAACTTTCAAATTCCTTATCTTACTTGATTGTCATTAATGCATTCATTATCAGGCTGGTTCATATTATCAATTGAAAATTGATCATCGGTGCCAACAGCTTGCGAATCAGGCAATAGTTCATTTGTTTCCTCGTTATTTTCAAAGTCATTACCATCATTCTCTCTTTGTTGTGGTTTCAGTGATTTGTTAATAATTAATTACACTTATAATTAATATTATTGAAAATCTTAGATTATCACTAACATGCAGGGATGGTAAATGACCTGAAATCAGTGTTGTACATTTTTGCTGTCCACAGCCTTTTTTGACCTTGTCCACGTCCACAATGTCCACATGTCCAAGATTGTCCAAAGCTTGTCCAAGCTTTAATAATTAATAAAATTATTTAAAAAATATATAATTATATATTTTTTTAGGTACTAAACATATTTTACTTAAAAATAAAAATAGGTTATCTTAATAAAATATTGAGTAATTTTAACTTATTTATTTGTTCACAAATGTCCACAAATGTCCAAACTTATGTCCACAGCTGTCCTATGACAATACTGCCTGAAATGACCCAAATGACCCAAATGACAAATGACCAGTCATTGGGTTATTTCAAATTCAAATGACCTATAGAAGGTCATTTAACATTTGTCAACTTATAATCTAATGCTTTTTAGCCAATCAAAATTGATTATTAGACAAAAAGTAATTTTTACAGTGCGAGACTACATTTGTTCTATTTGGGGTCGTCAATGATTGCTATATAGTAAAGTTAAAATTATACTATGTTAATTGAAATTTGTAATTAAGTAAAATTGTTAAAGAGATCAAAATACA